CTACCGGGACGCGGAGGCCGCGCGGCAGCAGGTAGCGGCCGCGCGAGGGGGCGGCGCGGGGGAGGCCGCGCCGAAATGGCGGCCGGGGGCTGAAATGGCTGCTTCGGGGCCGGGGGCGGCCGCCGGGCCGGGCCGGCGCTGCGGCTGTCGTGGCTACCAGCGCGCCTGGGCCGGTGGCCACTGAGGTGCCCCGCGGGGCTGAGGTGGCAGCGGCCGCCGCGCGGGAGCGGGGCCCGAGGCGGCCGGCCTGGGCCTGGAGGGACCGCGGAGCGGAGGGGAGCGCCGGGCAGCAGAGACCGCGCTCCCCCGCAGCCCGTGTCGCCCCCGGGCGCGGGGCGGCCGCCGCGGGGCCCAGCACCCCGTCCTGTGCGGGGCTGCGGCGCCCGCGTCCCCGGCTCCGCGCGGGGGAACCTCGGCCCCCCTCAGCAGCGTGGCCTCCAGAAACGTCCCGGCCTCCAGAAACGTCCCCGCCTGCAGAAACGTCCCTTCCACAGCCTTGCTCCCCTTAGGAAGGGCCTCAAGCTTTGTCAGATGTTTGCTTGGTTTTATTTTCGCATTAGAAACGCAGTTTTCCACCCTGGGAGACTCTGACTGAAGGAGCAGCAGAAGACTAGGAAATAGGAGTAGAAAAAAAGGAAAACATTTTAAATTTATTTTTAAATATATGTTGGACTGATTGACACTGGTTTTGGCCACAGTCCAGACAAGCCAGTGGCCACCGTGTGCTTTGGAGAAGGGGTCTCTGTAGGAGATGGTGCTGCCGCCGCCCCCTTCCCAGCGCGGCCTTGGGCATATCCAGAGGCTCTGCGGGAAGAGCAGGCAGCTCTTGGCATTTCTGCAGCAAAAAGACTAATATTTATAGAGAATGTGCATTTTCTTTCTCCCTTTTGCACTGCAAAATGGAGGAAATGGCACAAAGTTCTTGATTACGGTTCCTTGGTTGGGGACAGAGCAGCCCTTCACGGGCTGTCCGAGAGGCCAAACCACTGGTTGGTTGGGGTGTTCTGGTGTTGTGTGTGTGTGTGTGTTGTGTGTGTGTGTGTGTGTTGTGTGTGTGTTGTGTGTGTGTGTGTGTGTGTGTTGTGTGTGTGTGTGTGTGTGTGTTGTGTGTGTGTGTGTGTTGTGTGTGTGTGTGTTTGCAGAGCACAGGCAGAGAAAGGCGGCTGGGGAGCAACAGAGATGAGAATGAAATGTGAACCCCCCCAAGGTTTCCATATTTCCTTCAGCTTGATTACAGCACATGTCTCCTCTCTTTCTATGGAAATGTTTGTTTAGCTAAAGAACCCTCAAGCAGGTGGGAGAAGAAGAGGCCACAACCCTCCTCCTCCTCCACAGGAAGCTTCAGCCTCACCATGCCATCATGGCCGGGGACACTTTATTTCTTAGAGCTGAAGGTCAGAAAGAAAGGGGCAAGGGAGAGGGGGGCTCTGCAGAGCTTTCTGCAACGTAAACGCCAGCAAGAAGCAAAAGGCCCAGGCCTAACATCTCTCTCCCCTTTCAAGCATCATCTTTATCATCTCCTCAGAGCGAGTGCTCCAGGGTGGGCGCCTTGGGCCCCGTGGCCCCTCGTGTTCTGCTGCTCGAGTGCGCTGTGAGGTTCAACTCACTTTGTGTCGGGGGGATCTGCTTCTCTTCCTGCCTCCAGCCCCATCAGTCAAGGATCACGGCTTTGTCCTAATGCCAGAGCTGCCGGCAGTCTAACTGAGTGCAAACTTCGTCGCTCGCTGCCTGGCCTCCCTCGAGGTCTGTGTCTGAGGGAGCTCCGAGAGATTTGTGGGCAAGTTGCCCATGAGGCAGCAGAGCCCTCGTGGTCAAGGAGGCCCATGGGCTCCTGGCTGCATCAGGAGGATGTTGCCAGCAGGGCAGGGAGGGGATGTAGGGAGAAAGGGGCCAAGCTCTTCTTTGTGGTGGCCAGGGACAGGACAAGGGACAATGGGTACAAGCTGAAACGCAGGCGGTTCCATCTCCATTTGAGGAAGAGCTTCTTCACTGTGAGGATGCCCAAGCCCTGGCACAGGCTGCCCAGGGAGGTTGTGGAGTCTCCTCCTCTGGAGGTCTCCAAACCCGCCTGGATGCCACCCTGTGCCACATGCTCTGGGTGTCCCTGATGGAGCATGGGGTTGGACTAGATGATCTCTAGAGGTCCCTTCCAGCCTTAAGGATTCTGTGATTCTATGCTAAAGACACAGTTTTGGTCCCTGGACTTTGGGGAGTCCTGATGGATTGTTTCTGCTCTATCTTGTTCCTCCATTCCTTCTTTTTTCCTCCCCCTTTTTTTATTTTGGCAAACACAGTTTCTGCTGGCTCCTCTCTGTGTCTTCACCTTTCTCCAGCCGTGCCGGAACCCGGCGCCCTGGTTTGTATTCCAAGGTCTTTGTTTCTGTCTTTAACAGCCCTGAAACTGCCCTGGAAGCCCCTGAAGTGCAGTTGACGGGAGCAAAGCCTTCCAGGCTGCATTAGTGCTGCTTCAGGCTGGCAGGCAACAGATGGAAAATAAACGAGTTCAGGAGCCCTGGGGATGGTAACGGTGCTGCAGGCAACGGAGAATCAACACAGCTAAAGAGCAGAATACAAGGATTTATCCTTGGAGCTCTAGGCTTTTACTCGAGTGGCAGGGGACGCCACTCCACGCGATGGCTCACGGGGGACCCACTGCAGGCTGCTCGGGAGAGATGTGCCTTGTCTCGCTTGCTCGCTGCGTTTCCCTCTTCTCACACCACCGTGTAGCTCCTGTTCTGTGTGCAGGTTGGCCTTTCCTTCCCTTCTTTGTGGCAGAAGAAACCAGGATATTTACAGGGATGCTCCAGGCGAGACGCTGCATTTTGGTGGTGGTTTCCACTAGGGCCTGGCAGACTCTGCTGCCGGGTGTGCGGAGGGAGAACGTGAGGCGCAGAGTGGCTGGGGTCTTGCCCGGGCCCTGCCGGTGCTGTGAGTTTTGGGCTGAGATGATGGGAGCTGTGGCTGCCAGATGGGTGGGGAAGGGAGGCAGCAGCTCTCCCTGCGCAGCCAAAGCCAAAACGCTCCATGGAGGTTTAAGTTGAGTTGTTTTCCGCAGAAATACGAGGGCCCAGTGTGCCTGTGTGTGTGATGGAATAACCATATATTGGGCCACCCTCGTTTCACTGCACATTAGTTAAATTCCAACAGTCAGGAGCTTTGGGTACTCTGAATACCTGCTGGTTGAGGAAAAGTTGGAAAATTTCCTGGCAAGGAAATTGAAGATGACTCGGAGCAAATGATTCCATTTGAGTTGCTCAGCCAGATGTAGTTTTAATACACTCGTGCCAGCAGTTCCTGGACACCGCTCCCTCTTGTAAATAGCACAAAACCCTACCAAGGGGCGTTAATCCTTCAGTTTGATGGCTGTGTTTGCACGCTGTGAGAATGCAGATTAACCCCGAGAGGGGCCTGAACGCGTTTGTGGGAGGCTGGAAAGAAGTCTCATTGAGCTCTTCTTCCCGCACCAGGAGCTGGCACTGAAGTCCCTGGGGAGCGAGGGGCTGTTCCTCTTTTCTTCCCTGGACACCAACAAGGATCTGCACCTCAGTCCGGAGGAGTTCAAGCCGATAGCCGAGAAGCTGACGGGTAGGTGTCCGCCCGCCTTGCGGAGCTCCCCACCGAGCCAGCTTTGCCGTGGGCTCAGAAGGTTTTATTCACGTTACTTGGGTTTCTGGGCCATGTTCTGGTTTACTCGATGAGAGTCTGCTGAGCCTTATGTGTTTTTGGAACAGCTTAAGCATCAAACAGCACTTCCACAAAGTGCAGTTTTTCTAAGGCTGGCAATCTCGCCGTTGCACTAGTAAAGTGCTTAAGTTACTTTGTCTAGGGTTTAGAGGGGATTTGGGATGGGTGAGTGCAACAAATACAGCTCAGCCCAGGCTCGGCCAAAACTATTAGTGAGGCACGGTGCTTCACCCGTGCCCTCCTCTCGCTGTAGCAGTGGCTCTCAAAGCAATTACAAGCAATCGTGTTTGGAGACTCTATCAGTGTGTAGCAAATGTCTCTTGACGGTGCCAAGCAGAAGTGCAATGGTGATAACGTGCAGGAGAGCTCACGGTACAATAGAAAACAGAGCTGTTTGCTTACGCTGTATTGAATTGGCTGAAGCCTGTGTGTCTGTTCCCCCCGGGTGAAATCCAACTGCTGGACTGTGCCGTGGGCTTTAGAGCGTTGTTTGCTCAAAGGAGGGGTCCTCTTTAATCCATGCACCAGAGGCTCATTCCCGGGGTGAGCCTGAGCCTTGCTGTTACGTACAGCGTAGTGACAGCTGGGGAGCTACAAGTGCTCCAGGATTTACCAGGATAAACATATAATCACTTCATCTTTGCTTAAAAGAGGAAGGAGGGAAAACAGCTGCCTGAATTCCTGCCCTTTCGTGTCTAGGGGTTGCCCCCGTCGCAGAATTTGAAGAGGAGGAGACTCCAGATTCAAGTGGGGAGACGTTGTCGGTCGTGGCTAAATTCCAGCCGTTGGTCATGGAAACGATGACAAAGAGCAAAGACGGTTTCTTAGGGGTAGGTATCATACACAGGATGCACACGGTCAGAAACACACGTGTCCTGTGGGTTGGCAACTTCACCCCAGGTGCGAGTGCCAGCTCTGCACTCCCTTGGGGCCCATCTGGACCCCAGCATTTGTCCTGAACCCCCAGAGCTGCTTGTTGGCTGCATGTCCAGGGGGAACAGCTCCTGTAACTGGCTCTGATGCTCTGTTCCGTTCACAGATTTCTCATGTTGCGCTGTCTGGGCTGAGAAATTGGACCACCCCAGCAGCCCCCAGGAGTGTCATGTTTGCCAGTCAGTTCAAAGCCTTTCTTCCCCCAAAGAATAAGCTGGATGTCGGGGATCTGTGGTGGATAATTCCAAGCGAATTAAACATCTTCACTGGGTATCTGTCCAACAACCGATTTTACCCTCCGCCTCCCAAGGGCAAAGAGGTGAGATATGGACCATTCTATCTACCTGGGAGGTGATTTGTGCAGGTGTTCTTTTGTAGGGACTGAGATAACACTTGCTCACAGGGCTCTCAGGGATCAGGGCTGTAGAGGAAGCAGGTGGACACTGTAGCTGTAGTTCTTCATCCTCTGTTAGTGGGACTTGCTTCAGTACAGAACGGTTTGCAGCCCGGAGGAGCGGAGGGAATTCCTGGAGCACACAGGCTGCTGTGTTTTCCTGGACTTTGTCAGGCAGCAAAAAAGAATCAACATATAGGCAGGAGCACTGCTGCCTGAATGGGAACTAAAACTGCAAGCAAGAAGCAGTAGGTGCCTGTCATGACCAAACCGGGCTGTGATCCACTTTGTCTTAAACCCTTGGATGTTTCAGGCAAGTTCCTCCAAGACAAGGGAGGGGAGAGGATTATTGAGAGCACCCTCGTATGCAGCAGTCGCAGCTTGTGGGGCCCCTGCTGGGTGCTCCCCCCAAGGAGGGGCACCCGTTGAGGAGTGATGCGAAGTGATGCGTGTACCGAGCCTGCAGAACGGGGCTCGTGCCTCGCAGTGCCCCGGGGTGCCAGGGTGGGTGCTGGCGATCGCAGAGCCGATAAACCTCAGCGCCTTGTGTTCACTGGCTGTGTATGCGCTCCGAGAAAGTCCTAAGTAGTATTGATGGACACAGCCTCACCGATCAGCTTACTGTACGCAGGCATCCACCTGACTGGCATGATGAAAACTGTCAGACCATGGGAACAGATTTAGTTTAAAAAGCAGCCTCTTGCTTTATCCCCTTGTTTTGCGATTAACTAGGTCTCCAAGCAAGTTTAAGCCAGAGCCGTTATGTGACCTTCCTGATCTGGTGGGCAGTGTTCTGGAGCTGCAGCTGGCTGCTAGAGGGCCTGTTCTCACTTTGGCTCTCTTACAATTCTCTCCCCAGATCTTAATCCACAAGCTCTTGAGCATGTTCCACCCGCGCCCCTTCGTCAAAACGCGCTTTGCTCCGCAGGGAGCCGTGGCCTGCATCCAAGCCAGCAACTCCTTCTACTACACCATCGCGTTCAGGTAAGAGCTCCAGCCTGGCCTCGCGGGCCTGGGGACACCTCTGAGCTCGCTCCTCTTCTCTGAGGAGCGGAGGAGGCTGCTGCAAACGCGTGGCACAGGGCACCTGCCACTGCACGTGCAGGTGTGTTCCCAAGCAAGGCCACGTACCTCCTGCCCAAGAGGGAGGTGAAGCAGTTGGAGCAGGGTGGTTTTCAGCAGCTCTGGTCCATATGTGGACCATATGTGGTCCTCGACCAGCAGGTCGAGGGAGGTGATCGTCCCCCTATACACAGCCCTGGTGAGGCCACATCTGGAGACTGTGTCCAGTTCTGGGCTCCCCAGGACAAGAGGGATGTGGAGCTGCTGGAGAGAGTCCAGCGCAGGGCTACGAGGATGATCAGGGGCCTGGAACATCTGCCCTGTGAGCAAAGGCTGAGGGAGCTGGGTCTGTTCAGCCTGGAGAAGAGAAGGCTGAGGGGGGACCTGATCAGTGTCTACAGATATCTCAAGGGAGGCAGTGAGGAGGAGGGGGCGGCCTCTTTTCAGTGGTGGCCAACGACAGGACTAGAGGAAACGGCCACAAGCTGAGGCACCAAAAGTTCCACAGGAACTTAAGGAAAAGTTTCTTGGCAGTGAAAGTGCCAGAGCCCTGGAACAGGCTGCCCGGAGAGGCTGTGGAGTCTCCTTCTCTGGAGACCTTTAAAACCCGCTTGGACGCAGCCCTGTGCCCTGTGCTCTGGGTGACCCTGCGTGAGCAGGGGGGTTGGACTAGATGACCTCTGAGGTCCCTTCCAGCCTTAAGCAGTCTAGGATTCTGTGTGATGCTTGACTGAGGCCCGAAGAGGGCACTCGTGCTCCCCATGTCCCTGCATCTGTGGTGACACAGGGACTGCTGTCCATATGCAGGGCGGTGGCCTTCCTTAATACCCCTTGGTTGAGAAGTGCCCCTGGTAGAATGGGAAGAATCTGATTAATGATTAATTTGTCAGAGTTTTTGTTTGTTTGTTTTAATCCGTGGATGAGGCATTTGCTTCAAGGCACAAGTTCTGGGTTCACTTGTTTTCCTGGGAATGTTATACCCAGTTCTTGTTGCTGGATCAGGCTAGAGGAGAGACTCAGCAGTTGTAGTCTGTTCTTCTGCTCAAGGAATAATAACTGCTGTGGCCACTGTTCTGGGCCTACACTTGTTGCTCGAGTGCATAAGCTGTTAGTATGAGAGGCTCTCCTGACCCAGGGCATCCGCTCCAGCCCTTTGCCCTCTTTCATGTGGGTCATGAGAAGCTCCTGAACTGAACCTCCCTGTCCCAATTTAGCTTCATGGTTTCTGGGGCCTGGAGGTCACCTCTGCTTGCTGCCATCTGCAGCACATGATCTGTTCTAATATCTCCCTTCTCATTTCAGGATCCACGCTGAGTTCCAGCTGAATGAGCCACCAGATTTCCCCTTCTGGTTTTCCCCAGGGCAGTTCACAGGTCACATCATCCTCTCCAAGGATTCTTCCCATGTCCGAGAGTTTAAGCTCTTTGTTCCTAATAACAGGTACAGCTTTTCCTCTCTGTGTGCACTGAGTAGAGGCTTGAGGGTTGCTCTGAGCAGGGAAACCCGGGAGCTCTGGGATGCTGCCCTGTGCACAAGTGGGGGCCGTGCTCAGGACGAGGCTGGTGGGCTCCTTTCCTGGGCACATCAGGGTGCAGTAACCGCCTGGTGTCCCTTGCAGCCTGTGGGTGTCCTGGAGCGTGCGGAGACGGCGGATCTGCCATCTGAGCTTTGGGTGGGCTGGTTCTGCTCTTTGCTTGTCTGTTTTCCCCACACATCCCCCTCTGCCAGCGGTCATCGTGGTCACCATGTCCTCTGTTCTGTGGATATAACGGTGCCCTGAACTGGCTCTGTGGGAGTTTTGCAGGAGCAGCTCTGCGTGTTGCTATCTGGCTCTGGGGAGCATCTGGCAGGGCAGGACAAGGGTAGGGGTATTGTATGGGGACAGGCACTTGGAATTGTGATTGGGATCGATGTCCTTACACAACCTGGCTGCAGCCTCAACCCTGTGTTCCACGTGCTTGAACTCTGTGTGCCCAAGCCTGGGCTGTCCTGGGCCAAGCTGCTTTGGGGAGGGAGGTGCCTGCAGCCCCTAGGGTAGACGTGTGGGAACAGAGGGATTTAGGTTATCCGGATATTGCTCTGGACAGGCAGAGCTGTTGCAAGCACCAGGAGACTCCTTGGATATCAGTGCTGCAAGCTGATGCTGTGCAGCAAAAGAAAACCCTGAAATCTCTTGAAAGTCAGAGTGAAATGAGCTCTGCAGTTATCTGTAAAACTGGCAAAGTGTCTATCAGTCACTGAGGCTCCCTGGCCTTCTTCAGGGCCTGATTCCTTTTCCAGTAACTGTCACCTGTACTTGGAGCACGGGGAGAGACAGGCAGCAAGTGGAGAGGAAGAGCCTGGCTTGAAGCACTGGAATTCAGAAAAGACTGATGTTTTTGTCTCAAAATATGTTTTCACTTGGTGTTTTCTGTGTGCAGTTTCACAGTGGCTCATTGCTGCTCTCTGGCAGGCAGCTGGAAGAGCTTCAGGAGAGAAAAGCTCCAAATCTCTTTGCCCATGATGGCTGAAGTGAAAATTCTGTAACAACATTACCCTGGCGACTCAATCCCTATGGTTCTGTCAGCACATTCGTTACAGCAAGCAGACACTTGTGGCTCTGCCAACTTTTTGCAAGGGCCTTTTACTTCCAAAAAACAACCCACTTATGAAGTTCAACGGGATCAGAATGTGCAAGTTCAGGGTTGGGAGGAAAGGGGAACAAATGCACTCCTCTTCTGTACTTGGAGTACTCAGAGGTGTGAGCACGTGTGCCCAGAGTGCTGGGGAGGTGCCTGGGCGCTGATCCCAGCATGTCTAGTGTTGCTGGGCCGGTGCAGGGCCCTCTGCGCAGCTGGGGCCATTGGGCTCCTGTGCCCTCCCTGCGGGAGGAGCTCTGGGTGTTCTCCTAGGCTGTGGTTTCCCTTGGGTTACTCTTGATGGTTTGGCTTCTCCTTTCAGGTCTCTGAATGTCGACATGGAGTGGCTGTACGGGGCGAGCGAAAGCAGCAACATGGAGGTGGATATAGGTTACCTGCCCCAGGTCTGTACCTGCTTGCTGTCCTCCCTGTGAGTGCTGCGTCTTCACAGGGATTTACCTTCCCTTCCCCTGAGCTTCTGAACCTCAGCTCTCTCTCTTCTTAAGGGCATTCTCTTGAATGCTACAGTATAATATTTCACATCTGTGTGTGCTTTGCCATGTGGCTCACTATTGCCAGCTCTTGTGAGGCTATTTTCTCTCTTGTCTGTGGTGTGGGTTGAATTCCAGGCTCCTGGAGTCATGGACATGCAGAGTTATGGGAGTTTCCCTTATACAAAAACAAAAAAAAATCTGAGCTGCTGTGAGAGGGCGTTTGGGGCTGAATCCAGGCCCTAAGCCCAAAGGGGTGTATGAAAAGCAGTGTAGCTGGATTTAGAAATTGCATGAAATTTTTCCTTTATTTTGTGGTAACTCCAGCTCAGGGGACAGGAAATCTAAGTCATAATCTTGAATGCCTCAGGTTAGGACTTCTATACTAGATCTGTATTTCCTTTTACATGTCACAGGTCCTGAAAACAGACCGACCAAATAATTTCAGAGGCACAAGAACACTGAGCTGCAGGGAAGTCCCCGAGCAGTGTCCCTGCTGCACCCTCTTCTGGCTAGAGGGCCGTCTGGGGGCTGTGCTGGCGGGATGAGCAAGGCCTTCCAGCTAACCCTACCAGATCCCCATAGTTTTAAGGATCTGTTGTCCCCTAGTCAAAAACCTTCCACTGGCAGGATAGCCATGTGGAATGAACAAGTGTCTCGTGCGTTCCCAGTCTAGCAGTATGTGCCATAACTGGAGGATGTAAGGTTATGTTCCTGGTATTCCTCAATAAAACTTAATTCGAAATAGTGAAGTGCAGCTCCAGGAACAGAAATCAAGTTAATGATCTGTGCGTCTTCATTAGAAGCTTCACAGTCTTATTTTACCTCTTTATCTCGTCCTGCAGTACTGGAAAGCCAGGAGTGGTCTATCAATAATATCTAACTCTGAGCCTGTCCTTCTGCAGATGGAGCTGGAATCGACAGGGCCTTCCATCCCCTCGGTGATCCATGATGAGAATGGGAATGTGATTGATAGCAGGGATCCCTCAGGGGAGCCCATTCAGTTTGTGTTCGAAGAGATAACCTGGCAACAGGAAATCCCCTGGGAAGAAGCAGCCCAGAAGCTGGAATTGGCCATGTATCCATTTAAGAAGGTGAGGATTGGGCAGTGCTCCTCCTTCTATAACATATCTGTTTGAACAGCTCTGTGAAAATGATCCTGCCCAGTCACCTCAAGGGCCAGCAGGGATCAGAGGCCACAACTTAACAGCAGATGGAGTAGCACGAGGATCTCCCTGCTCAGGGGCACCACACAGGTGCTGCGTGTGTGACATGATGGGGCTCCAGTTTCCCATGAGAGGGAACAACGTCCTGGAAAGGCCGTTTGGAGCTGCACAGTAGCAGGGGCAGGAGCACAGCCCAGATGTCATGTCATTCCAAGCTCATTTGGTAAATGTAGGCTCATCCTTCCTTCCTCTTATCAGCAGGTGCTGATGTGATTCCTGAGCAAGGCGCGTAATCATGCCTCTTACAAATGATTTTCCTTTGGCGTTACATTTGCTGGGTTCTGCTGCCTCTGGACCAAGCTTTCCTTATCAACAGAAAACACATTCTGCCTGCACATGCACACCCTGCAAGGAGAGTCAGATTCACAGCACTGAGTGACCGAAATTATTTAGCATGCCAGTGGCCTCTGGAGCAGATGGCTACTGCCTGTCACTGCCTTCTTGGCTGAAGGGACATGTTTCAAAGGCTGCCTCCTTGCGCCTGAGCTTACAAATGTCCCCGAGCTGCCAAGTTGTTTAATGAAGTTCCCTTCGTTTGAGTGATTGGAATGTGCTCTCTGCAGAGTCCCTCACAGACAGATTTTAGGCAGTTTCAGCAAGTTTTTGTAATAAATCTCCTCCCCTCAGGGATTCAGAGAGATAAATGAAGTTGCCCCAGGGGAAAGCACTGGTATTAATGCTGCAGCTCTGTGTGCGTTGCCAACGTGACGTGGTAGGTCCATCCCTTTGGATCCTACTTGTCTGTGGGGTGAGCTGTTCTGCTGTGTGTTTCTCAAACTCTCTCTCTCTCTGCCTCCAGGTTTCGTATCTTCCCTTCACACAAGCTTTTGAGAGAGCAAAAGCAGAAAAGAAGCTGGTGCACTCGATCTTGCTGTGGGGTGCCCTGGATGACCAGTCCTGCTGAGGTGAGGGTTGCCCCCATCCTGGCAGGGGAGTGATGTGCATGATCCCGGGACTCGGAGTCATGGAGGACCCAGTGGATCCTTAGACTTCATCCTAAGTGCATTTAACCAGCCAGCCTCCTTGGCAGGCTGACTCTGCAATGCCTTTGGTTGCCTTAAAAGCAGCCAGGCTTTGCTCTGAGTCTTCTCTGCCTGCAGCACGCAGTGGAAATGGTAAATTGTGGAAAACTGCCAACAAGTGAGAAGATGGGTGATGGGCCTGGCTGGGAGGGAGCCCGAGCCAGCTGCCACAGCAGCCAGCCGCTGAGCAGGGCAGTGGCTTCAGACATGGCAACAGTGACCTCAGAAATTCATCGGATAATGGTCTCCCTCCTTTCCTGTGTCAGGTTCGGGGCGAACTCTCCGGGAGACCGTCCTGGAAAGTTCGCCCATCCTCGCCCTGCTCAACGAAAGCTTCATTAGCAGCTGGTCGCTGGTGAAGGAGCTGGAGGAGCTGCAGGTGGGTGTCACAAACACATCCACCCCCTCGCCTCTAGTGCTGGTGAAGGCAGTGGGTGCCCGAGGTGCAGGTGGGAAGGGGGAGCTCACACCTGTGCCGACAGAGATGTCAGTCCCAGGCCCTCTATGTCTTAGCAATTGCAGTAACAAAACAAACACCAGATGGAGTCAGGCTAGGGAAGCAACACAGTGATCTTCTTCACTCTGTTGTAGTGTGAATATTAAAAACTAAACCCGGTGCTTCAGTGAGAGAGAGCCCTGCCCAGGACCGTTTGTGCCATGAGCAGCCTGGCTGAACCCTGAGCCTCCTCACTGCTCCTTTCTATTCTTGTGAGCCTGGCTCGGGCACATGCTGGGAGTTGGGGGCAGCCACGGAACTGCAGAAGCTGTGAAAAGCCCCGATCAGGCTGTTTATGTGCCCGAGAACTGCCAGGGACAGAGTGATCTTAGTGTTTTGGGGGGTATCTACCGCTAGGGTGTGTGGCAGGGAGGAAACACGACAAGGAAGCAGTAAAGCACACGGTGAGCATGGAGCCGTGTACCGCACTGCAGGGCAGCCCCTCCGGCCTGGGTTAGGCGCATTCCTCCCGCTGTGTTCTGCTAGCAGTGGTGTGTGCAGCCTTGTTCCTTGGGGTCTCTTTACAGACCAACAGAGAGAATGAGCTCCACAGCAAGCTGGCCGAGCTGCACCTTGCGAAGTACAACTTCCCCGTGGAGATGATCATTTGCCTCCCCAACGGCACCGTGGTATGTTTGTTACTCCGGCAGCTGGGCTTGGCTCTTCCTCTCAGCCCGTGTTCTCTTCCTCTTCCCCAAACATCGCTCCCCAGGGAGAGGAGATGGCGTCATCCGAAGTGCTTGGAAAACACCCAGCTGGTTCAGGGTCTATTACTGGAAGTGTGGTGCTGTTTATCAGGATGAGGATAGGACACGTGGAACAGAATGAGCTCCTGCTCATGGGAGGCGTTGGAGTCGCATCCAGAGATGCCCATTAGGCAGGGTGACCTGTGAAGAGGTCAGTGTCCTTTTAGGCCCCTGTGCCCTCGGGCTTGCTAGGACTGGGCAGGACTAGAGACTGGCTCCTTTGCCCAGCAGCAGCCCAGAACTTACAGGGTCACCTCTAGACCCGAAGCTCGTATCAGCTTCTCTGCTACCCAGGCCCTCTGTGGGGCTGTAGTCCCTTGCACTGCTGGACTCGCAGGGATATTGTGACAGACAGTAGCACATGCTCTAGCAAAAAATATGAATCAAATGCACTTGTATTCAGAGTCAGAAGAGGGAATATCTCTAGCAGGAGGGGTATGCAGTTGAACCTCAAATATTTCTTCAATCTGACCCATCCCCATGTTGGAGTTGTCAACCTTTGGGAAGCAATCATAACTGGTGTCCTGCACCCTCTGCCATTCCTGTTCATGCTTTAGAGAAAATCTCTCCTTATCAATGTTCTAGCATGTTTCTCTCTGATTTCTTTTTTTTTTTTTTCATCTGGGTTTGCCCCTGCAGATCAGCCATTAGCAAGTCAACAAGCGTTGGCCCTGCTGTGCCCCTGCCTTGGATTTGAACAACAACAACAGCCCCTGACACTTGACACGGCAGCGCTGCGCTCTGTGTCAGCAGCGGGGAGGATCCTGCCAGGGTCCTGCCAGCCTAATCTCATGGTGCCCCATACTTGCCAGGTCCTAGCTAGGAACATTTGCAGTGACTTGTTGCTGTCTCTTTCGTGGCTGCCCTCCAAATTCGGCTGTTGACTGCAAGGCTAGTGAGTGATCTCAGCTCAGCGAGCTGCAGCCTGTCAAGGTTGCTGTGGTCTTTGGCCACGTGTCCTCCTTGCCCCTCTCAGCTGGCAAGCAGAAGGCACGGGGACGTTTTAAGCAGGCAGTGCAGCCAGGCTGGACCGAGAGCGCACACTGAAGCAGTCCGTGCATGTGGGCTGCTACCCGCCCCCAGCCCTTGTTCAGCTGTACATTTTGTGTAATTTTGCCCAAATCACTTTTTTTCTTAACCATGCTGAGCAGAGAGTCAGCACATTTGGAAAAAGCAATACTAACTGTAAAACAGAAACCTGATTCCTGGATGCTGAATAAGCATTTGCAAAGCATTAGAGAGTCTTAAATTTAATAGCAGTCTTGTCATCTGTGTCCTGGCTAGAGGCCAAAGCAGTGGATGGTGAATTGATGTGGCCTCTAAAGTCTCCTCTCCACCTGTTTTCTTTCCCAGATTCACCATATCAATGCCAACTACTTCCTGGATATTACTTCAATGAAGCCTGAAGATGTTGAAAGCAGCATCTTTAGTTTCTCAAGCAATTTTGAAGACCCATCTACTGCAACTTACCTCCAGTTCCTGAAGGAAGGACTGCAAAGAGCAAAACCATACCTGCAAACCTAAAAACAATGGCACCTGCCTGCCCACGGAGATGGCCAAAGACATCAGAGCTCTGTTCTCATTACAGCAGTTCTTCCTCCTCTTCATGCCAGGCTGTTAGGATACAGACAGTCCCAGGACTGGAGCTCTGTTCTGGATGATCCAGGGCCGTTGAAGAGGCTTCAGTTTTGAGTGACACACCTTCTGTTTACATAACCTGCCCTGTTGAGTTCAGGCATGTTTCTTACAGGAGAGAGAATACTTGAATCTATAAACGCTCTGTACCTGTATCTTGGTGTGTCACCAGCCTTCATGTTTTTCCACCTCCTGTTGAAACTCTCCGTAGTGAGATTCCTGACACAACTATACCAAGTGTCACCTACAAACACACGATCTCAAGGACATGACTTGGTGCCGAATCAGCATGGCCAGCACAACCAGGCGCTCGGGGCGAGTCCCTGTGCCTGCGGGTGAGGGCGAGAACCCAGCGCAGGTGGAAAGGCCTTTCCTGGTAGCCCAGGTCCTCACGCCTCCTCTCCAAGGGCAGCTCTGAGCATGACAGCGGTCAGCTATTCCATGGATGGATCCCCGCTCTTCAGGATGGCATTTATTGACAGCAGTGGCCACAAATGCACAATGTGGGGACTCGAGCTGCTACTGTGTAGACATGCAAGTTGGAGGGGGATCTGTTCAGAGGTCTGAGCTCAGAAGTAGCCTCTTTCCAGATCCCTGGGTGACCGAGACGCGTGTCCTGACGTGATGTGGGATGAGGATCTGGGGCAGAGCTCCTGTTATTTCCACCAGTGCAGTGTGAGCACAACACATTACAGGCCGGGCTGGGGAGCAGTGACCCCAACCCGTGTCCGACACTGTTCCTGCCCCACACGCTCCGAGCTTTGTCCTCCCAGCGTGTCTCCTCACTGGCTGCTCCCATCCACATTCGTTTGGAGAGTTTCCATTAAGCGAGCGAACCATGACAAAGTTCCCTTTAGGAAGGGTTTAGGTTCACTGTCGCCCTGAGAGCATGAGGTGGTTGGGGACTGAGCCTTTTTAGAAGCCAGTACAAAGAAACTTCCCCAACCCTTCCAAAGAAGTTGTTCAGACACTGTTTTTGACCCTCATCTGTGCCCACCCTGAGCAGTTCTGTTTGGAACACGTGCTTAGCTACAGGGTGAGTGTTATTTGGGGAAGGAAGGGTCTAAGTGAAACAGGTGTAAAGCATATTCCTGTAGCTACGCGAGACAAAGCATCTCTGATAGATGGCTGCAGACAGCCATGGTTATTGATGTTTTCTCTGCGCTCTAAAGCACAATTCAGTTGGACCAAATCAAAAGAGGGAAAAGTCTTTCTTCAAAGGGGCATTTTCATTCCTGGCTTTCAGAGCCAGGGAGGAACCAGGGGTCTCCTCTTACCCTGTCCTGTCCCCAGCTCTTCTCTCTGTGTCCGTGGCTGGAGGCTGCGCTGAGCTTAGACGGACCTTTGGGCTTACCCGTATAACTTCACTAATTGCTCTAGTGAAATCAGTTCCCTGGGATGTTTCTCAGTATCAGCTTTATAACTATGCATTAGCTCTGCCCTTTCCGAGCGCTCCGAGGGGCCTGCAGTGATCACGGGCTTGGTTTTGGCAGTTTGCAGCGGTGGCTGTGGAAAGCGCTGACATCTCCAGGCGCCGTTGGAGACCGACCTGCAGCTGCTCTGCCCAGTTGCAGTCCCCAGCGCCTTCAAGTGCAGTTTCAGTGTAGAGCTGCCTTTCTGGCTTTTACAAAGCTTCTTTTGAGGTATTTTTGTTGCACCCTTAGCACCCTCAGTAAGAGGCCCCAGACGAAGCCGTGTTGTGGGCTGTACCCAGGCAGAGCATTCGTGCTGTTAGGATCCCTGGAAGTACCTTAGTTTTGCTCCCACCAGCCAGAGCCCTGAACAACTTGCACAGCCCAGAGCCCCTTACAAGATCTCCCGGGCTGTGGGAGTGCAAGGGATTAACCCAAAGCGTGGTCCAAACCCCGCTCCCTGGAGAGCAGAGTGCGGGGATCCTGTGGGACATGTGGCTGCGATCCCATTAATCCATCAGCCAAAACTTGCCCCTTTATTGCCGTGTGACAGTTGGAGGTGAACTCCGGGTGGAAAACATCGTCTGAGGCTCCTTTTAATATGTGCCAAGCTTTTTACTTTTTCTCCTTGTATTTGTAACCTCCTTATGTTTTTCAGTAGTCTTTTGATACAGCGGAAGGTGGGGGGAAGGAGCCGCGCGTCGCCCTGCTCTCCCGAGCTTAGTGACGGCCTGGGCCTAAGCGCCAGGCGGCCCAGGCCCGAGGCCGCCGGGCTGCGCGGGGACGCGGCCGCGCTGCTTCCTCTGTAGCTGCCTCCTTAAACGGCTGCCACCGCCTGCCTGGCCTCGCTCCTTCTTGCCGCCGCGCGGGGAAGGGGATCCGAGGGACACGGGTCACACACACACACACGTACACCCTGTGTCACCCATCTGCCTGTCCCACACACCGGTCTCTCACACACACACGCACACACCCCCGTACCCACACCCTGTGCTGCTACCAGCCCCCTGCTGCCTCCCGGGGTGTGGGGGGGTCCCTCGGCACCCATGGGGTCCCTGGATGCCTCCGTGAGCCCCCCCACACACAGTCACCTCCTTCACCATCACACCCCCACACCATTACACCCCCCACACAACACCCCCACACCATCACCCCCACACACACTTACCCCCACCATGTACACCCCACACCATTACACCCCCACACAACACCCTCCCCACACGCACATGCCCCCACACC